TCTTCTTCTCTTCTCTTGCTTCTGCGTTTCTAATACAAGCGATATTCAGTCTCTCCCTTCCAAGTCGCGGACATATACAACATGTGCACGTGGTTGGCCTTCGGTTTGACCTCGTCGAGGAGAGCTGCCCATCTCTCGTAGAATTGCACCATGCGAGGCTCCTCGTCCTCGGTANGCACTATTCTTCTTCTCTTCTCTTGCTTCTGCGTTTCTAATACAAGCGATATTCAGTCTCTCCCTTCCAAGTCGCGGACATATACAACATGTGCACGTGGTTGGCCTTCGGTTTGACCTCGTCGAGGAGAGCTGCCCATCTCTCGTAGAATTGCACCATGCGAGGCTCCTCGTCCTCGGTAATCCTGTTTGCCTCGTAGATGTGGGTCGAGCGCTCCGCCACCCGTGGGTGCCCACGATGGAAGCCCGCAAGCCAATCTTTCCCCGGACCCTTGTCTGGATCCCAAAGGGATCCGCTGACCGTCGTTGCAGAGTCGTCGCGCCGCATCTCTGAGGTGAACCCGATCCACAGCCAAGAAGTTGCGAGCAGCAAACAGCAGAATATCTTCCAGCGAATCCTCCTCTTCTTCTTCTTGCTCAGGATGGTCTCGGGACCAACCTTCGCGTTCATGGCCACCTTGCCACGGCGGTGGCTTCGATGGACGTACGGCCTACCCCAACGACCTCAGCAGCCTTGCTAACCGACATGCCATCATCTATCGCTGCACAGGCCTTCCGAACCTGCTCCTCGTCCACCTTGCGCCGGGTCATGCTTACCAGAAATCCCGNGGATGGTCTCGGGACCAACCTTCGCGTTCATGGCCACCTTGCCACGGCGGTGGCTTCGATGGACGTACGGCCTACCCCAACGACCTCAGCAGCCTTGCTAACCGACATGCCATCATCTATCGCTGCACAGGCCTTCCGAACCTGCTCCTCGTCCACCTTGCGCCGGGTCATGCTTACCAGAAATCCCGAGGAAACGACGAAGGTGGCTAGCAGCGGGAGCTGTGGTGGCTCCCTCGGCTGTATCTCGGGGTAGAATGCTTGGCGTGCGACGCTGTGGTGCTCAAACGAGAGCTCGGTCTGGTTGCGCGGAGCAATTCAAAAAAACGATCAAGGGGCTCCGTGAACTCGGTGGGGAGATACCCCTGATAATTAAAAAATGGCCTTTATTACCCGCGTGGCCTTTAATACCCGCCTCTACTCTTAATGTGTTTGGAAGTCCACTGCTGTCCACTGACGGATCACGTTTCCTTTTGCTCATGTTGACGCGCACCCGTACCCCTGTTAGGGGTCTCCGACACTTTCGAAATTTTGATAATCCGCCCGCTCACGAGCAGCCCATGGACAGCCCATGGGCACCTACCTCATGGTGGGCATTCCATGGGCTGCATTTTTGCCCACGACGGACCGCCTATGGTCATGTCCACGGGCAAGCCTACAATGCCCGCCATGGGCTGGCCATGGGTTGCCCATGGGTACCCTAACTTGTGCAACCAATTGTAGGGCAGCCCACCACGGAAAGCATGTTCGGCATACCAGTGGGCTGCCCATCGTGGGCAGTTACAGGGAAACATGGTTTGGCCAGGATCCTTTTTTGGTTGGCCAAAACGTTTGGTCACAGTCAGTCCCTAGACAAATGTACAAAAAAATACGTTGCCGTGATCCCCACGTCCAAGACGGCCTAGGACCGAAAAAAGAACAATGAAAGCGTGAGGGTACTTTCCAACATAGACGAATATTGGAGGAACAAAGAGAACGGAAACGAGTACGCATGGGAACGAATCCCGGCCCTCCTGAAGACAGGGCGCACGCACAAACTCTTGGGGTATGTATGCGTGCACAACCCCCCACACTACTGACACTTTCTTCAACCGCCCATGGGACACCCATGGGTTACCCATGGGCCGCCCATCGGTACTTCATGGCCATGGGCTGGCCATGGGCTGGCTGCTCATGGGTGACCCATGGGCATGTTCGTTCATGATTGGCCCATCCATGGGCGGCCCATGAAATGCCCACTGCTGTGGGCCCTTCACCCTAGAACTTCGCCACCAACCAGCATATCAACCTAGAACTTAGCCACCTTCACATCAACCTACTAGTAGAAGTTAGCCACCAGCACCAACCCAACACGTATCGTGTGTTCGTGGGTCTGCGAACATTACAGTTAGCGCCCGCAATCAAGAAATATACGCATTTTTTAAAGAAATAGTCTAAATGCTCATTAGACGGATTCCACCTCGGGAAAAAACGCTAAAAAAAAATAAATGTGTTTCGAGGTTCCGCCGCGCCTTTTCGTACGAATTTTTGCAGTCCAGCTCGTCTGTTTTCTTTTTCCGTTTGGTGCGTTTTTTTTTTCGCGTTTGAAAAAAACAAACTTCATGCGCGCACACGCACACATCCACCTTACCGCACGACACGTACTCCGAGAGCACAGCTATCAATCCCTGAGGCAATTTATTTATTTATTTTTGCCTTCCGACAATTGCAGATGTACCTCAGAAAACTTTCACTTAATGTCTCATACTCTACATGAATATTAAACCAATACGAAGTACAACAACATATGTAGGACTTATTTCTACTGTCATTTACATCGTAAAAGTATCTCCTCTTCAACTTACCAATGACAATCCTGATGGTATCCTATATGCGTTCGTAAGCTTGCTAAAATACTACTGCGTTGATGTCTGCTTGTAAAAGTTGAAATCCAACAAATGCTTTGATCCATGCTACATCTCCGTGTTGGAAAAGCTCTTTCATCTCCGTTCATGATAACATCTTACCCTATTCTACGCAAATCTGTCACATCTACTCTCAAACAAGACGCCAACTTCAAACGAAAACGCGTTCTACGATGCGTCTACACTCCATCCCCATATCATTGTGGCGTTGACTGGTCCGAGGTCGATCTTGTTCGCCTGTTTTCGGTGTCTTGACGCCCAACCGGCACGCGTTGGTCATTTCCGGTGAACGTTTGTGTTTAAACGAACGTGCTGGGGGCGTGCGCGGTGGACGTGGTTGGGACAGCTTTTCACCCGCACCACCAGTGACCGCGGTAGCCGCCTCTCCTACGGCGGACTTCGTGTGCGTCCCCGCCCCTTGAGGGAGGTAGCGAGTCATCAGTCACACCAGCGGTCAAGTGCTTGGAAGTCAGGGTTAGCACAGTTCACCCGGCGGCGTGGTTCGAGTTGAGAGCTTGGTTTGAAATGGGAACGCATTGAACAACGTATTGGTGGAATTGAGAGCTGTTGAAACACCCTACAACAGCTCCTTCTATCTTTCGCTCTTCCCCCCTCTCCCACTACCCCCCCCCTCCCAAGTGCATTATTAGTTATACAACGAGGGGGGAGTGTGTTCTTTTTGCGGCGCTCCCTTCGGCCCCTTGCCGGTTCTGGCGCTCTCTGGCGCTCCGGCTCTGGCACATCACACCAGACAGATTGCGAACCACGATATGCTGTCTGCTGTACGGTTTTGATGGTGCTCTCCGCCAGCTCTCGTGAGCAGAGAAAATCAACTAAGAAACTGCCGATTGAAGAAATTCAGCAGGATTTGGCAGCACGAAAATAAGAAACTTGATATGAGAAATTGAACGACATACATACGCTGAGTTTATAGCCCACAATAAGAATTCAAGGCGGGACCTGAAATAACCGTTTCTTAATTGCGGGCGCTAACTGCACATGCATGTGCAGGATGATTTGGTGTCACGCAGACTGGTAAGATCGCCGTTTGATAGGGGACACCGCGATGATTCACGGGGCCCATCCTTGCTGTGGGAGTCGCTCTTTTAGCACTCCCTCTTTTGTCCGTGTGACGGACGGTCGTCTACCTCTCGTGAAGTTAATACATCATCAAAGCAGTCTCACCCGATAAATAAGTGGCGTAGGCCGCAAACACTCTAGAGTTTTTGCCCCTCGAGGGAAGCCACATTGGGATGAGCTCTGCTGGAGACGAAGGGCGCACTGCTGCGAGTCGAGAACAGATCCGCCCGCTGGTGCAGGAGGGCAGTGATGCGGAGCTTGCAAGTTTGCAACTGCAGGTTTCGCGATTGGCGGCCCTGGTGGAGGAGTCGACAAAGAAGAAGGAGCCTGGTAGCGTCGCGGCAGATGAAGCCAGTAGTGGCGGCTGGGTTGCCGCCACCGAGGCCAACAATAAGAGCCCATGCAGTCGTTCGGCGGTGACGGGGGATTTCTCTTGCAGCAAGCGAGAGATGGTGGGCAAGGACTACGGCAGCTACTGGAAGGCGGCTGGGCCAGCAGATCGGGAGCGAACCCTGTTGGACCAGCCGGAGTGGGCCCGGGCATAGGAACGGACTACGGGGAAGCGAGGGGGTAAAACCCCCCAGGTGAGATACCCGTGGTTCGAGGAAATGGAGAATTCCTCGACCGCCACAGCAGGAGTAGTAGCCACATGAAGAGAGTAACAGTCAATGCCCCGCGTCTCGAAGGGGAGAGTCGCGGCCATGGGTATGACTCGTGGAGAAAGCCGCTTATCCAAGCGGCCAAGACTGTAGGACTGGACGGCCAATTGATCGGCAACAACTAGAGACATGCACCTGTCGGCAACCCAAACGTGCCAAGCTTGGAGCTGTGCCACCTCCAACACACGAGCGACGAGGTCCAGAGGGGCCTCCAAGCGTTCCATATTGTGACCACTGCCATCGTCAGAGAAGCCGACAAGGCGATCGTCAACAAATGCGAGACCGCAAAAGAGATTCTCGCGGAACTCGACAAAATCTACGATCCGGAATCGCAGGGCTCGAAACAAGCTCTCATGAAGCAATTGTTCAACTTCTCGATCCCCAAACACAGCAGCAGAAACCCCATCGAGTACCTGTACTCGCTCGAGCTGCTGTACTCACGCCTATGCGAAAAAGGGCTCAACGCTGACGCACTCTTTTGTACTCGGCCACTTCGTTGGTTCCCTCCCACCCGAGTACCAACAAGCGAAGTTCCTGTTGGAGACAGCAACGGCGCTGGATAGGGCCGAGATCGTCAGAATCGTTAGCACGGTGCACGCGAGCCTTCCGGAGGGGAGAAAGGCCTCGAAGGGCCAGCGGAGGGCGGAGCACGCTCTCCTCGCGAGCGACGGTAGCGGTGGGGGAGGAGCGCCGGGCCGCGTCAACGGCGACCGCCGCAAGGGTGGCGGCGGCGGCGGCAACGAGAAGGGGAGAGGGAANCTGTTGGAGACAGCAACGGCGCTGGATAGGGCCGAGATCGTCAGAATCGTTAGCACGGTGCACGCGAGCCTTCCGGAGGGGAGAAAGGCCTCGAAGGGCCAGCGGAGGGCGGAGCACGCTCTCCTCGCGAGCGACGGTAGCGGTGGGGGAGGAGCGCCGGGCCGCGTCAACGGCGACCGCCGCAAGGGTGGCGGCGGCGGCGGCAACGAGAAGGGGAGAGGGAATGGCGCGAAGGCTGGTGGCGGAGGCGGAGGCGGCGACGACGATGCGGGTAGCATGCGCGGTCGCTATTTCCGATGCGGCAAGAAGGGCCACCAGGTGACCGACTGCACCGAGAGCAAGCCCGTGCGATGTGAGATATGCAAGGGCTACATGCAAGGGCTACAGGCACGACAAGAGCAAGTGCCCGACCGAGGAGGTGGTGCTCGTGGTGGAAGTGCCGGCGGGGGGGGCGTCTGTGGACGCCACAGCACTGGGCGTGGCAGAAGAGGCGCTGGTGGTCGGTGGCATCTCAGGCGAGTGTCACAAAGTCGTTGGTCGAGGGGGAGTAGAGCAGGCTAGGAGGGGTAGGTATGTTGCCGATACCGGCGCTACCACCCACATGTTCGCGAACTCAGATGGGTTCGTCCGATATCAGGAGTGTGATCGACGTGTGCGCGTCGCCGCCGGACCAACCTTCCCTATTGTAGGGTACGGCGACGTAACGGTCACTCTTAGCTCGCGCGACGGGACAACAGACCTGATCTTGAAACGGGTTGCACACTTTCCTCGATTAGACTAGTCTCTGACGTCCCTCTTCGACGACGGGTTCAAAACCAAAACCCTAGAAAAACACGAGTTGGAGTTGGAGAAAGAGGAGGGGAAGTCGGTGTACTTCCCCCGATGCGGTAACCTGTGCGTCTAAAACGGTTTCCGCACACACACCGAACATGCCTATGCCGCAATCGCTCCTGGCAACGCGAAAGCGTCCAGCACCCCCGTTGACANAGCGCCCAGCACCCCCGTTGACATCAACGATTTCCACTGCGCGCACGGCCACTCCCACGAGGTGCTGCTGAGGACCACGGCGAAGCAGCAAGGGACGACGCTGGTGGGCGAGCTCCGGGAGTGCCTGGGGTGCTCGACGGCGAAGGCGCTTTCCAAGCCCATCCCCAACAAGACGTCGACCCGAGCATCGCTGCCTCCCATCGCAGAGGAGGAAGAGGAATTCGCGAATGAGGAGGACGAGGTTGGGGAGGGCGCGTCGAGCCAAGGTGGAGGGAGGACAATGGGAGAACCTTGTCCTCCAACCTTGTCCTCCGTCCACAGGTGCTCCCATTGTCCTCCCTCCACCTCGGCTCGACGCGCCCTCCCCAACCTCGTCCTCCTCAGTCGCGAATTCCTCTTCCTCCTCTGCGATGGGAGGCAGCGATGCTCGGGTCGACGTCTTGTTGGGGATGGGCTTGGAAAGCGCCTTCGCCGTCGAGCACCCCAGGCACTCCCGGAGCTCGCCCACCAGCGTCGTCTCCTGCTGCTTAAGTGCCCTTCAAACTCTTCCCTCATGGCCTCTCCCCACCCCTCTCTGGCGCGCCGCGCCGTCTACGAATGAAAACGTCCCCGGGGTCGGTGGTATATGCTATCGTCCTGGAACAACTGTTTTGTCAAACACATCAAGCATGATAAGCCTTCTTGCATACAACTCTTTCTCCAACTCTCAGAAATCCAAACTTCAGCCTGCTGACACACAACTCTTCGACTCTCAGAAAAAACAACGTCAAATCTCATCAGCCACCATACAGCACGCGTCGATATGGCTGCTCTCCCTCACTCGACGAAAACTGTGGTCCATCATGTCTTACGATAACCTCCTCTACTCTTTGCTGCGAGTGGAACGCCACACGCAATACCTCCTTCATTCAACGCTCGCGGAAAACACCCCTGACTATCTACTGGATCGAGAACTTATCATTGCTGAGGCTTCCTTTCCTCCTACAAGACATAGTGATTCTCATCACGGGGCTTCTCCCCTTCTACAAGATAAACACTGAAATAGATTGTGGAGACGCCTTGCTACTGCGAATCGCTCAATAAGGTGGATACATCTGGTACATGGGACCACACCTACCTGCAGCAACAACGGAAATGTCACCTACAGCAGGATAACAGTGTCCTCCCCTCCCCATTTCCACCTCACGCACACAAGGTGATACATCTGGTACATGGGTCCACACCTATCTGCAGCAACAACGGAGATGTCATCTACAACAGTGTCCTCCCCGCCCCATTTCCACCTCATTTTGACGCCAGCACAATTTTACCTGCGCCGGTGTCTGCAACTTTTGATACACCGGGTCCTGTGTACCCCCTTTTTTTTCAGCCGACACGCTGGATACTGTTACCCCTGTGCGTGAGTTTTCATCGGCCGCGGGGAGCGCCTGTGCTGCATCCCCTCATTTGATACACCGGGTCCTGCATACCCCTTCTCTTCAGCCGACACGTTAGATACTGGTTTACCTTTGTGCGTGAGATTTCATCGGCTGCCGGGAGCGCTTGTGCTGCATCCCCTCATCTGATACACCTGGTCCTGTGTACCCCTTCAGTTCAACCGACACGCCAGATACTGGTTCATCTCTGTGCGTGAATTTTCATTGGTTGTGGGGAGCGCCTATGCTGCATCCCCTCCTTTGATACGCCTCGTCCCGCGTACCCCTTTTATTCTGCCCCAAAGTTTTCATCGCCCGCGGACAGCACGAAATGGAAGCGCCTGTACCGCAAATCCCCATCATAGAGTGGCTGGTTTTTGGAGCCGAATTGAGGACGAGGTTGGGGAGGGCGCGTCGAGCCAAGGTGGAGGGACGATAATGGGAGAACCTGTGGATGGAGGACCAGGTTTCAACCTGGGCACGACGGAAGCCCCGGGGCCCGCGGGGCCGCCCGCTCGGGTAGCACCGGCGGCGCCGCAGGCCGCGCCCCAGGAGTCGGGCGCGGGCGACGCTGGCGATGGCGCCCCCTGGAGCAGGGAGGGCGCGAGCGTCGCCGCATCTACCACGTCGACNTTCCTGCTGGGTACGGTGGACCTCATGCTCAACTCGCCAGACGCCTTCGAGACGGCTCTGGCGTCCCACGAGCTAAGTGAATCCCCCATAGGACCGAGGCGAGATGACGAGAAGGGAGGGGAGTGGCCGGTGAAGGAGGCTATCGGCAGCATGATGTGGGTGTCAACGTTCTCGCGTCCAGACGTCTCGTTCGCCGTGCCTGCGGTGGCGCGCCACGCCCACGCCCCGGCGAAGAGGCACTGGGATGCCACCCACAAGATCCTCGGCTACTTGAAAGGGACAAGGGACCTCGACATCACCTACCAACGGGGATCGGGGTTAGGGCTGGCCGTGTACGTAGACGCTAGCTACGCCGACACGGAGGATAAGCGTTCGGTGTCAGGGTTGGCGACGACGGTTGGAGGTACCGTAGTCAGCCATGGTAGCAAGACACAGAGAATCGTGTCTTTGTCTTCGCCGGAAGCCGAATACATTGCTGCCGGGGAGGGCGTTAAGGAGGCATTGTTTGTGCGTGCGGTACTTTCGTTTGTTGTCCCAGAGACCAGTGGTAGAAGCATGCTGGTCCTTGAGGATAACCAGGGGGCCACAGCGTTGGTGCAGAACCCCCTCCGCTCAGGTCGCACGAAACACATCGACGTGAGGTTCCATTTCATCCGCGGATTGTTTAGGTCGGGGGATATTTCAGTCAAATTTGTTCCGACAACGGAGCAACACGCGGACCTCCAACCCAAGGCCCTTAGCAGGGCTNGTGTCTTTGTCTTCGCCGGAAGCCGAATACATTGCTGCCGGGGAGGGCGTTAAGGAGGCATTGTTTGTGCGTGCGGTACTTTCGTTTGTTGTCCCAGAGACCAGTGGTAGAAGCATGCTGGTCCTTGAGGATAACCAGGGGGCCACAGCGTTGGTGCAGAACCCCCTCCGCTCAGGTCGCACGAAACACATCGACGTGAGGTTCCATTTCATCCGCGGATTGTTTAGGTCGGGGGATATTTCAGTCAAATTTGTTCCGACAACGGAGCAACACGCGGACCTCCAACCCAAGGCCCTTAGCAGGGCTAGCCTGCAGTACCACCGGCGCAAGTTGATGAATTTGCCGGAGTAGCTGTAGCAGTTTCTAGCACTTGGGAGAGGTCATGTTTTCCATGCGGGGAAAGGCGCATAACTGTTGCGGTCTGCGTACCAATGGTAGGAGTAGGGGGCGTTGGGAGACTATAGTCCGGGGGAACGTAGTTCCTCGCTTTTTTGTCTTCGCCTTGAACTTTCGAAGAAGTGCAGCCGTTGTGATCCGCTGTGATAGCGACAGTTTTTGTGGTGGTAGTTTTTTTTTTTTCGGGGTTTTGCCCGGACGCCGGGTTTCCCTTCCATATAGTACCATGTTGCTATTTTCTGATTTATCCAGGCGCGTTCTTGCCCCATTGATGGTTAGTCACTTGCGTGAAGAACCAGGGAGGGTGTTCGTGGGTCTGCAAACGTTGGTGTTGGATACATGTGCTGGATGATTTGGTGTCACGCAGACTGGTAAGATTGGCGTTTGGAAGTGGCACCGCGATGATTCACGGGGCCCTTCCTTACTGTGGGAGCCGCTCTTTGAGCACTCCCTTTGTCGTCCGTGTGAAGGACGGTCGTCTACGTCTCGTGAAGTTAATACATCACCAAAACAGTCTCACGCGATAAATGATTGGCGTATGCTGCAAAGATCGTGTGGGCTTGGGGTTACGGTTACGGCTAGCGTTAAGGTTTTTTGCCGCTATATTGCCCGTTCCAAAGCAGATAATCCATTGTTTAGAAGTACACCGATTCGGTTGAAGGGCTCTCATTGGCCGTCCATGGGCTTCCCATGGGTCGTGTGGGAAAACCGTAAAGTGCGGAAGACCACACGTGCAGCGAATGGTGCTCTTGTGTCCCCAAGCATATTCTTGTACAATTTCTATACTATCATGGAGGGTGGGTTCACCGAGTGTCGCGTCGACGCCGATACAAGACCCACGTAGGCGCCTTGTGGAATTCCCCCCACACAACGGCCTTGGCCAAGACGGATGAATGGGGGTGGTTGCGTGATGTTAGCGTCTCGTTGGAGGGTGTCGAGTTGACTTCATTTGTACCCGATACATGCCCAATAACCTCCATCCGCAGGGAATAAAGAATCCTTCGTTTTGGCTACTATCCAAGAATCAAACAATGCATTATCTCAAGAAACTATACTCGTCGTAGCTCATCATACCACCTATCAATGGCGTCTCTCTGACGATTGTCAACGAATGCGAAGATGCCGAATCGCTGAAATATCTTGCACTAGTCTAATGCAAACCTCCTTCCTTATTTGGGATATCTTCACTGGGGGGGGAGGAGTACCGGCATTCTTTTGGGGTCTTGCCAAGGAGGAGCCGCAAGTGGAAGTGCCCAGTAGTTTGCTTATGAACATGTCACCGCTTGCTCACGAAAGCTACCTGTTGACGAAATATCACAAATGACCCGCGGGAGTGAGGCATCTAGTTGCACGACGACGTGCGTCTCAAACTTCATACCCAGCCGTAACTTGTGGCATACTTTAATAGCGATTATCGGAGTCCACACATACTCTTCGTTCAGGCCAGGAGATCGACACGTGGTGCCGACAAGCAGTTATTCCCATGCCGCTGTGGGCTGCTTGTATTTTCATGTGTCGACTTGGGCTCGTCAGTCCAATTGATGTAGTGGTGAAATCGTTAGGCTTGAGTATATTCTAGCGATCGAAGCCAAGTACCTATTTTTGTTTTTTGGCTATTCTTCCATGTGTGTGTTCCTCGTTACATGAGTGTTACAGCGCTTTTGACTGCTCGCCGACACATAACCTACCATTTTGTGCGAACCATCGTAATCTCTCCTCGTGCACGTCACTGTGTGGAAATTTGTTCTCGAATGCCTTCACAGCCGGCTGACCTAAGACGGGTGCCAACGTGCTAGAATCGAAGAAGGGGGGGGAAATACGGTCTGCTCCCGGGGGGGAAACTCCGATTTCACGCCTCCAGCCCGAATAGGTGATGGGGGAGGGGGGGCTCTTGTAGGGGCGAAAAATGCCACGATTACGTCTTCCCGCTCTAAGTATTGGTATGCCCTCACCACAATGCGCACAATGATCGTACGATTCACCGCCATCCCTCTTTGAACGTGTACAGCAGCATGCCAAACGTTTCCAACGTACCCTTATCCCTGCATCAGGCGTTGGCAACAGTTTTTATTTTCACATCGTAGAGTTAGGGGGGGTTCTGCACCTCTTGCGAAAACCTTTCCATCGATCACCTGTTGATTCAGGTACTGTGCCTCTTTTTCGTCACCCGTCATGCGAACAGAAGCACATACTATCCCAGGCGGTGGTATGGTACCCACACGACCACTCCGTCGCTACCAGGCCCTCGGCACCGATAGTTACCATGTGCGGTTGATCCGCGCTGAGCAGAACACCTTAATGGTGCACGGCACAGCGTAGGGCTTTTTCGTTACTCGCTGCCCGCTTTATTACGCCAGGTATTTGCAGCCGGCTCTTCCTATCATTGTGTCGCAGAAGTCACCAAGTGTAGGACACGCAATGTGGCCTAGCTGATACGTCGTAGCCTTGAACTCGAATGAAAACAATATCGTTTCTGTTAGCACCGCATCCCATGCTGCCTGGCTTTAGTGTTGGAGTGTGGGATAGGGCACGATGGAGCTGGACTTCGTACACATTTGAGGCGAGCCTCAAAGGGTTCGTCGTTTGTGCATAAGATTCATTGACTACAAGTCATCGACTCAAGGCAGAGGCGTTGTTACCACGTACCCGGCAGTAGAAGCTGCTGCATCAAGGACTCCAAACGTTCCCTAACTTTAACCCAATTTCTACCATACGGACATCATATCTACCTCCCGGTGTCCATCCTGCCACATGGACGGGCGGCGATTTTACCACCAGATAGCCGTCGTGCCTACAGGCCCGATCACTGATGGTCAATGGTTCCTTTATGCTATGCCAAAGGTGGCTTACATTAGGTTTTCCCCATCGTATCTATCCTATCGATAGGAATTCCAGGCGTTTCAGTCCACTTACTTTCCAGCCCACATGGCGGCCGTACTTCTCCTGGGAAGTGAGGGGGGTACTCATTACCGTGCATGCCGTAGACGATAGACGATGGGGTTGGTGCTTTCATCTACAGAGACAGATAAACGCATTGTTCAACTGCCTCGATGGTGCTTGGCCGGACTACACAACGTGGCGCAGTTATCCCCTTTTGCGGAATGAGGGCTCTCGACCCCACACAAAATGGTCAACTCGACCACCATCATGGTTTTCCGCGACAATAAAAAAGGGGAAGGAAATACGAAACGCGGTAGCTCAGAACTTCTCAATTCTTCTGCGACAAGTCCGCAACATTTGACCTTAGGCGATTATGGCAAACTAACACAAACAAATGATCCGCCAGAACCAACTAACACATAATAAACCATGGTTCAAAACATCATCAATCCAAGCTTATCAAGCCGAAAAATACCGGAGAGAGGCCGGCGCTGAAGCCACGGTGATGGCATCACTTTCGCCACGTGCAACACCCGTACACTATTACGATTTGCCGTGCGTTGCACTTATTATTCGCTTCCCCAAGCCCCTCCACCTCCCTCAACAAAACAACACACACGCTTCTTCGAGCACTTTCGCGTCGAGCGCGCACTTCGCCCTCCCTCCTACTCCCCCCTCCTCCCCACCTCCCTTTCGTTCTCCTCCCTAACCCTAACCCTAACCCCAACCCTCCTTCAACCTCTGCTATGCTAATATCGGCTGCGGTACGCTCAAGCTCGCCCAGGGCCTACGTGAATTGTCTTTCCCACGTGCATGAAGTGTACCCTCTGCATGAAAAACTAGGATTTATCTCTATCGTCTGGTAGGTTTCGTAACATATGGTTTTGTTTATTTGCTCCCCTTGGGTCACGTCATGACATTACTCATGGCACCTTACTGGGTCTGGTGGGGCACGATGTGAATATTCTCATGATTCGTCATGGTACAGTGTCCCATGGCAGAGAGCGTCGAACCTCTACTGAGTTGCTGTGGAGTGTTCGTATATGTCCTTTACTTGGAAGGGGACATTCTATCTCTTGTATTAGACACGCAAGGGGAGTAGGGATAAGTGAAGCCCTCTTTGGAGTTCGAGGGGTCCCCGCACATGCAACCATTTCAAGGTGTACATACACACCGGTCGCCCCGGTGGTCTAGTGGGTAACCTCGCAGCCTGCTAAGGGCCAGGTCGTGGGTTCGAGTTCCGGCAGAGTGAGTTTTTTCTCACTAAATAAGTCCTGGTCTAGGATGAAAGCGACGCGCTGCAAAGCTCGTTGTTAGTAAACCATAATCGACTTCGTAAGCAGCGAGGGAAGGTATTGTTCTCGCGATAAAAATACCTCAGGCAGGAACCGCAGGAGGGGGTCCAGCCCCCCGCTCCTATATGACCCCGGTTGGGTCGTCTAGCTAATAGAAGTGGAGGATAGGGGCCAGAGGGGCAGACGACAGAGTCCAATGATGGGAGAAAAAAAAACAAAATGCCACATCTGCGTGCCCTCTGTTGTTGCCGGTAGATCTAACCAGTCCGTATCCAAACACACGGACACCCTCCCCGGTTTGCACGCGAATGGCAAACCTAACGTGGGGCATGGATACCCCTGATCTACCAAAGGGACTCAAAACAACAACAGGCTCGAGGAAAAACCCGGCCAACCGGATCAAAAACCCTCGTCTAACACCCTTACTATAGAAAACCGTCGCTATCACGGAGGATTCCAAAGGCCGCACTTCCAAGACAAGACCAAGGCAGGACAGATTGAACCGGTCACGCGTTTCCAGGCTCCAGCCGCGGGTGACGCCCCGGCACAACGCTTCCTGCGTGACGTACCATGGTCATATATGCCAAGTGCTAAAACCACCACATAAACCAAACAGAACAAGAGAACACTACATCGGTAGGTTCATCAGAGCCTTCCGGTGGTACTCCAACTTCTCTCTGCCAAGGACCTTGGTCAGCATGTCGGCGTGCTGCTCTCCAGTCGGAACATACTCTGCAGTGATCTTGCCCGACTTGAATAGCTCGAGAATGAAATGGAACCGCACGTCGATGTGCTCGCTCCTCGCTGAGCTGAACGGGTTCTCGATTAAGGCGAGAGCCCCTTGGTTGTCCTCAAGGATCTTGATCTTCGCCCCACTCGTCCCGGGCGCTATGAACGACAGAACGCCACGCACAAGCAACGCCTCCTTCACGCCCTCCCCGGCTGCCATATGCTCTGCTTCCGAGGTCGACTGAGCCGTCACTGGCTGCGTCTTGGTGGATGCGCACACTACGGTACTACCTACAGTCACAGCTAGCCCGGTCGTAGAACGCCTGTCTACTTTGTTGTCAGCGTAGCTGGCATCGACAAACACGTTTAGGTCTAGTCCTGACCCACGTACGTAGGTGATGCCGAAGTCCTTCGTAAAGTTCAGGTAGGACATGATCCGCACAAGCGCGTTCCATATCCTCCCGGTGGGTGAGTGGGCGATCTTCTGGAGCTTGTTCAGAGGCAGGGCGATGTCTGGCCTCGTCAGCTTCGTCCACATCAGGCATCCGATCGCCTCCCTCACAGGCTTATCCACCGCGGGCTCGTCATTTCTCTTCGGCCCTAGGTCGGCATCGGTGGCAACAGGGGTGAAAGCGGTCGTGGTCACATCAAACCGCTGCAGCATACTCTCCATCTATGCTGTCTGGGACAGCTTGGTGATACCATTTTCGACCCGCATGGCGATAGCACACCCGTCGTACCAGGCACACTCCCCCAGATTTTTCACCGGAAAGTTCTTGTTGAAGGAAGCGAACAACTCCTCTCGCTCTCCCTCGTCTGCCGCCACTAAGATGTCATCAACGTAGATGACGATGAGACCTACGACCTCTCCATCCACCAGCTTCCGGAAGACACACGGGTCAGCCCTGCACTGCTCGTATCCATTCTCGATGAGGGCATCGGCAGCTTCAAACCCCCACTCACGGCCACTCTGCTTTAGGCCATACAGGGCACGCTCAACCTTGACCGCCTTGCCGAACATGCTACCACAGCCTTCCGGGAACCTGAGGTATATTTCTTCTTTTAGCTTAGCGTGGATGAAAGCTTGCTTCACATCCCAGTGAGCGAGTTTCTTGCCCTTTTCAGTGGCTACGGCAATCACCGTCTTGATAGATGCTGCAGACGGACACGCTGAGGATGAGTGGTGGAAGTCGATGCCGGGGGTTTGAGAGAAACCCCGCGCAACCATACGGGCCTTGACGTCGACTATCAGGCCCTTCTCATTCGTCTTCCAAGAGAAGACCCACTTTGAACCTATGGCCTTGCGCCCCTCCGGCAGCTCCTTGACCTTGGTAAAGGTTCCAGTCTTGTCGTGGCCATCTATCTCTTTCTTCATGGCCGCCTCCCAGAACACCTTGTACTTGGAACACATCACATCCTTGTACATCATCGGTACTGCTCCCACATCGCTCGGCTTCTGCCCGATTGGCGAGGTCATACTTAGCTGTGGGTCTGGGAGTGGTTGCGAAGACCCGCTGGCGTCGACCTCGGCCCCGAACGCCTGCTGTTCCGGGCCCAACACCGCCTGCATCTCGCGCCTGTACATCTTCTCCATACGGCGTGTCTGCTCCTCGTCCCACTGCTCCTTCACAAGCGAGTTGCAGATGTAGTCCTCAACAGTCCATGTTCCGCCGGTTTCCAGGATGGTCGCCAGCAATGCCTCTTCCGGGTCTGGTGTTTCTCCAGGCCCCGGCATCTCCCCGGCACCTTGCATCTCCCGGGNCGCCTGCATCTCGCGCCTGTACATCTTCTCCATACGGCGTGTCTGCTCCTCGTCCCACTGCTCCTTCACAAGCGAGTTGCAGATGTAGTCCTCAACAGTCCATGTTCCGCCGGTTTCCAGGATGGTCGCCAGCAATGCCTCTTCCGGGTCTGGTGTTTCTCCAGGCCCCGGCATCTCCCCGGCACCTTGCATCTCCCGGGTCTGCTTCCGCGTGCGGCCACTCTCAAGCCCATGGCGCAGCGGGCCAGCGTTCGAGGCGCCACAGAAGAGTTTCTTCCCTTCTAGCCCGCGGGGGTAGCGGTCGTTGGGTGGATCATACCTCAACTCCTCGAGGTTCTCGGAGTCGCCGGGATCACCATCGCTACCGCCGTCCCCACCTAGGTCGCCGGCTCTTCTCCGCCCGAGCCGCCGGCACCGCCGGCGTCACTGCTGCTGCTGCTGCTCGGGCTGCTGCTGCTGCTGCTGCTGTCGGTGGGGCTGTCACTGCCTCCGCCGAATTCGCCCCTTCCCGAAGGGGGTGACGGGGGAAGGCTGCCTCCGTTCCCCGGAATCCCGTTGCCGGGTGCCGTCGGCGCCTCCTCGCGCACAAACGGCGTTGCTTGCTCTGGTCCACGAGCCTCTATCACGTCGAGGTCGGACTCACTCTCTGAGTGTCTCTACCACCCCCAACCTTGGCGTGATGCATCCGCTCTGCTCTCGCCCTCCCCGCCCTCCTCGTCATCTGCGAGAGGTA